TCCCTGGCAGGCGGCTTCCCAGCCTTGCCTGCTCCCTCCTGCAGCTTGGTCTCGCTGCCACCTGGCCTGCCGCCCCCTCCCCCGGTGCCCTGCAGGCTGCCCCGCGGAATTGGAAGGCCTGGCGTGGCATGGAAGGGCCATGGTGGTGCCCCAGGGCCGCCAGGTCTCCGGCGTGCCCGAGGCCAGAAGGGGCGCTGCCCCGTCCTCCGCGGTGCCACACGGACACCTGTTCCCTGGGGAGCAAGCGGGTGCCGCCTCTCTCGACACCCTTGGCGCTCTGCTCAGCCGGCACACCCTCTTGCCACGCACGCCGTGGGAGCCTTGCCTGTCTGCTCATGTTAGCTCGGCGGCCTGTTAACTTCAGCACAATCAACTAAGCCTTCCCCTGAAACTGCGCTGCATGCCTGGGCGGCTTGCGCTCTCTCGCGTTTCTGCTGAGAGTGGCGCTTTTCCGCCATATGTTCCTGGGAGCATGTGGCCAGCATCTCCTCACTCCCCGCAGCTGCAAGCGCTCCTCCGTGGAGCTGCCGTTCTGCGCTTGGGCACCAGCTGGCTCCCTTCCCGGGCAGAGCTGCAGAGGAGCCGAGACTCCCGCCCGCTCAAAGGCACGGCTCTCGGGGAGGGGGCTGGGCCTTGCCGGTGCCCTGCTGGGTCCCCTGCCTCAGCCGCTGACCTGCCTGCTGGCCCTGCGTGTCGGTGAAGGGGGTGCTCCTCGGTGCCTCTCTTGTCGGCCAGCCCCCACCCCGGTGTCCCAGAGCGCCCCTCCTTTGCTTGCAGGCAGCTCTCCGTGAGCCAGCTCTGGCAAGTTCGCTCTCCCTGCCTGCCCGGTGGCGTGTGCTGAGGGGGCACAGGGCCCCTTTGTGGAAAGGGTGCCTCTGGCCGGTGCAGCAGGATCTGCGGGAGCGACGCTGCTCACGGAGCTGCTCCAGGACCGCCACCTGGCTGGAGTGCTCCTGCCCTGCCTTGGGGCCACTGAAATCAGGGCAGCTCAGAATGGGCTGCAGAGGAAGATGGCCCCCAGCACCCCGGCTGGCCTGATAGGCAGTGTTGATTTTGGCCCCCTCGCCTCCCGGTGAATTGCTGGCGACAAGGAAAATTGCCTTGAAGCCGCTGCCTCTGCTCCAGGAGCCCCCCCCCCCCGGGCCTCCCCCGAGGCCTTTGCCCTGCTGCTGATTGAGCCGGGTGGCTGGCACATGGGCCTTGGAAGGAGCCGGTGGCAGGCCTGAGAGTGCCAGGGCTCCTGCGTTGGCCTCCACCCGCCGGCACGTTCCTGGTTGCGATCTGCCGTGCCTGCTTGGTGAGCTGCCAAAGATGGCCGCACTGTGGGTGGAGGTTGCGTGGAGTGATGGTCGGCACTGCAGAGCATTTCCAGGGATAGCGGAGCGGCTCTGTTGCTTTCCTTGACTGGATGTATATTCCACCTTTGCATTGACAAAGAGGCGCTCAAGGGGACTAACAGTAGTAAAACCAAGATAAGCACAAGGAAGTAAAACAGTGTTGAGTACAAGCTAAAAGCCCCAGGAAATGCAGAGGCTCTTGGCGCAGGGGTCTCCGCTGTCGCACCCGCAGGCACGGCGCCTGCTCGCATTTGGGCCTCAGCCTCCCCTCCCCGCTTTGGTCCCGGGAGCTGTGTGTGGGCCCCTCCCGCAGAATGGCGTTGCCTCGGTGGGTGGTGTCCAGCCGGAAGGAGGCCTTGGGAGGTGCAGGGCCAGAGGGCATCCAAACGCAGCCTCCGACCTGCGTGCGTGCCTGGGCCTCGTGCTGGAGGAGGGCAGGCGCTTGCCGCAGATGCTGCCCAGGGCCTTGCGCAGGAGCAGGCCCTCGTGGGGAGAGGCCGCACGCCAGAGAGGAGCCGGGGGCTGCTCACTCCATGGCCGTGAGTCCCGGCCCGGCCCCTCCCTGCCTCTCCATGCAGTGTGGAACGCGGCAATCGCTGGCTCCGCTTGGAGCAGGAAGCTTTGAAGTAGTAATTTGCTGTAGTAATTTACTGTAAAACAAAGTCATTCAGGCTGCTTTTCAAAAGCATTTAAAAATGGTGCAGTAACAAAATGTTGTCTTCGAGGGGCTGCCTTGGAAGGAGCACTATCAAGTTGCTCTCTAACGTGGACCCGGAGGCTCTGACTGGAGCCTGTTTCCACTGTAGCCCAGCCAAAGGGGCCCGACCTCTTGCCCAGGGCTGAGGAGGTAGCGCTGCTCGGGAGAGGGGAGGCTCGCGGCACACCTTCCTGGGCACGGCACAGCGCTCCCCAGCCCTTTCACGAATGACTTGCATGGCGAGGCACAGGGAACGCTGGTCAGGTTTGCAGGTGACACTGAACTGGGTGAGATGGCTGATGCCCTGGAAGACAGAAACGAGATTCAGGGTGATCTTGACAGGCTGGAGTACGAGACTGAAAGCAGCAGGATGGAATTAAATTCAGTAGGGACACGTGCCAAGTTCTGCACCGAGGAAAAGGGAAGCAAAGGCAGCCATCGTGTGGGGGAGGCTTGGCTGCAAATGAGGCTGCAGGAATCGAAAGGAAGCGTCCAAATCACGGGAGGTACCAGTTCTGCTTGGCCCCAGCTAGGCTCCATCTCGAGCTTTCCAAAGTCCAGTTTTGGGCACCGCATTTCAAGAAAGATGCAAAGAAACAAAAGGGTTCAGAGGAGGGCAACAGAGATGATGAGGGGACTGGAAATAAAGCGCTGTGGGGAGAGCTGGGAAGAATGGGGCGTGTTACACTTCAGACGAAAAGACTGAGGGCAGGCGTGAGAGCGCTCCAGAAGTCCTTGAAAGGCTGCCCCAGGAGGGCCAGGATCTCGCCTCGATCATCCCAGAGTGCGGGGCGCAGAATAGCAGGTTTGAGTTACAGGCAGCCGAGTCCCAGCTAAATATCAGGAAACATTTGGAGCCGATGACCCAGGGAGGCTGTGGCTCCCACACTAGCGGCATTCAAGATGCAGCTGGACAGTCAGCTGAGAGGGATCCGGCTGAGGGGGGTTTGGAGCTGAGGGCCCTGGCAACTGCCGGTCTGTGGCTCTGTGGTATGAGGCAGTTCTGCAGCGGAAGCGCCCCCCCCCCCCTTGTTAGCCAGCTTTTCTGCCGGAGAACAGCCGCAGGCAGCCCATCCCGAAGGACTGCAGGCAGCGAAGGGCAGGGTATCAGAAGGAGCCCCTTGCTGCCATCCAGGGAAAGTGGCTGGTAGAGCCCTCAGAAGAAAGGCAAAACTGTCGCTCCATGTCGAAGTCATGGCCTCAATTCTGCCCAAGGGCCACTGGCTTCGATGGTGCTGGGGGAGTGCAGTCCGGCTCCCCAAAGGTCTCCCTGCCATCTTTGGAGGCACCTGGAGGGGTGGATGCGCTCCCCACGTTGACTCCTTGGCCTGGCTGCGGGGTGGGGGGGGCCTTGATCTGGGCAGGAGGGGGCGGCTTGGGTGGTCTTCAGGCTTCCCGCTTGCCTGCTCTGGCCCGACTCCCCATGAAGTCTGCAGCCCTTGGGTGCCCTGCCTGGGCTGTGTTGCGTCTCGGCCAGCAGGCTCCAGTTGTGCTGCAGGAGAGCGACCAGGGCCGGCGCACAGCCCCGTGTCCTGTCCCAGCAGAGCCCCCTGAGCGAGGCGTGGGGGGGCTGCTCCTCGTGCCAGCCCTCATTGGCCCTCCAGCCGGCGTCATGCCGCTGGGGGAGCAGCCTGGATCAGCCCCTCCGGGCAGCGCCTCGCACACACCCCTGTCTCTGGGGCGACCCGATCTCCTCCGTGGCCAGCAAGGCCAGTGGCTCTGGCCAAGCCCCACAGAAGGGACTGCCTGGCAGGTGGAGGCACTTCCCGCTTTCCCTTCTGCCCCGCTGGACTCTCAGAAGGGAAAATGTGGGCTGTATCATTTAAAATGCAGCAGAAACAGGATGCATCCATAGGAGTGCCCCCCCACTATAGTAGGCCCCCCCACCAAACGCCCTCTGCCTGCCCACCGAAGGACAGCGGAGGCGCAGCCCCCCCAGACACCCCTGAGAGGCAGCGCCACGGCCTGGGAGCCGCCACGGAAGGGTCTCCTTGATCGCCACCAGGTGTGGCTGTCCCAGTGGACTCCCCAGGGCATTTCCCCTTGGGTGGTGTTTGGGGAGCCGACTGCCAAGGGGACAGCGGCCCCGAGGAGATGAGGGAAGGGGAGCGGGGGAGGGGTGCCACCGCTCTGCTCCCCCAGACTTGCTGGCTCGCTCTTGCGTGAGCCTTCCTGGCAGAGGCTTCCCGGCCCCCCCCCCCCCGCCCCCGAGCCTGCCTTCCCAAGGCTGTGGCTGAACTGGCTTTGGGGGGTGTGGGGAGGCAGGCAGCTCTGGGAGCGGCACGGGCAGTGGGACTGGCCGTGGTTTCCCCTGCTGTAGCCTGGCTACCTCCTAGTGGCCCTCGGCCCCCGTGGCAGGGGCAGCTTCATTCCCCCGAGGGGGCCGGAAGAGCGCCGCCTCCCCTGAGGGCCGTCCCAGCGCCCTGCAGCTTGCAGCTGGTGCCGTGCCAGGGCTCCCCTGCATCCACGCTCTTCCTCCTCCTCCTCCTCCTGCTGCACTCAGAGGCCACCTTCTGCTTCCCCGCAGCCCTGGACAGAATGGCCGCGGAGCAGGCGGGGCACACGGCTCTGCTGGGGGGCACGTGAGGGCCTGGCTTTGCGGGTGGCATCCTGTAGGTTGACGCCTAGGCCTGGAGGCAGAGCCAGGAGGGACTCACGGGGCCAGGCTGCTGCCGGTCAGTGTGGGAGGGCTTGGTGGCTCTGGGTGTGGCAGACCCGTGGGCCTGTGCAGTGCTGCTTTGCAGAGGGGGTGGTGCCTGGGCTTTCCAGGGGTCGGTGAAGTGAGGGAGGGAGCGCTTCTGCCCCGGTGACTGCCTTGCTGGGGGGCTGGGGCGAGGCCTTGTAGGACCGGGTGGCAGGGCGTGGGTGGCCCAGAGGGGCCTGTCCTGGCACAGCTGCTTGCGTCCGGTGTCCTTTGGTCTCTGCTCCAGATCTTCATCTCTGCTCCTTTGGCCCGTTCTTCCCAGGTGATGCAGGTGCTCAATGCGGATGCCGTTGTGGTGAAGCTCAGCTCCGGGGACTGTAAAACCATCCACCTATCCAGCATCCGCCCACCTCGGTTGGAAGGTGAAGCTGCCCAGGTAAGAGGGGCCGCTCTGCGTGTGTGTGTGCATGGGTGACTTTGGGGGTGGGGGCATTCCTCCCTCGGTGCTGAGGGGCTGCGAGGAGAGGCCCGGCCCAGCCTCGAGCTGATGCACGCTTCTGCCTCAGCTCAGTATTAGAAGCAGAGAGTGGGGAGGATGGAGAGCTTGTTGCGTTGCAGCGCATTTGTTTCCCGTGAGGCAAGAAGAGTTTGAATCGGCACCTGGTTTTACCGATCCTCCGCCTGGCCCAGTGCCTGGCCCTTTAATTTGCTTGAGTTTCTGAGGAAGTGCTTTCTGCCTCCCCTGCTGGAAGGAAGGAATCCTGCTTCTGTTCTGAGTCCCGGCTTCTCATTCCAGGCTTTGTGCCTAAGGGACAGTCACTTGATCTGTCCTCTCTTGGCAAGCGTGCTGTCACGACGGAAGCTGTTCAGCACCAAGGACAGCATCAGACCAACTGTGAGCTCGGAGCCCTGCCCTTAGGTTAATCTGCAGGCCTGGAAGCAGCCGCTGGGCTCCATGGCTGAGGCAGGCCCTGCTTGCATGCAGAAGGCTTCAGGTTCAGTTCCCAGCATCCCCACTTCTGCCTGGAAAAGCCCGCTCGGGAGCCCCAGGCGCTGCAGCTGTGGGGGCGTCTCGGCGGTCCTGGTGGGCCGGCGGTCCAGCTCAGCATGGGGCAGCCAGCGGCTTCTGTCCCTACATTACAGAGCTGGCACCAGGCAGTGAACACGGGCTGCTGCCCCGTTCCAGGTCCCCAGCTTTAGCCCCCAGCAGCGCTGCAACAGAATGGGGAAGGCCCGGCTAAACTGGGCAGTAGACAATTGGCAAATGTCTGACCAACTTTCTGAAATCAGAGGGAGAAATGTGGTGGGCTTTTCACAGGGAGGTGGTTCTGTGTGTCCTGGGCTGCCCTGGGAATCTGAAACCCTTCAGGACAGGGGAGGGAAGATGCCTGAAGTGGCACCTCCCTTCCAAAAGCGCCCACCGATGGGGAGGCATTCCCGAGTTGAGCGATGGGGCCATGTATCCCACTCAGTCTGTTTCTGTGGAGCATATGGATTTTTTTATTTTATTGATCTCCTCCTGTCTTCTTTCTTCCTATAATTAGCTCTTTGAATATTTTATAGCAAAGCAGGTTATACCTTCTGATAATTAAAAAGTCGAAACATGTCAAGCGTGTCTCAGTGCCCCAAGGGCCACTTGGTCACGTGATCTCAAGAGGGCTTCCAAAGAGGGCCTCATGCGCTGGGTCTCCGTGTCCCAAACTGAGAGGTCGTCCCAGTTGAGATGCTCACATCAGTCTGCTTATGTGCGCGCGCTCGCATTTAAAGCGGGGAGGTGATTGCATCCCTGTTCTTGGGTTACATTCGAAAGGTTTGGAGCCTGAGCGGCTCGTAGCAGAATTTGCTCATGCAGTTCTTGTGGTGTATAACACAACACGCAGCAGAGTCTCTCACGAGCTGACTTGTAGCCGCAACAGCTCAGTGGGGGGGGGGGGCAGGACCGGCAAGGCACCAGCAGGAACTGCTCCGCCCGCGAGCCGCATCGATCGGCAGAGTGGCACAGAGGAGTGATAGATGCCGCTCCGGCAGGGCTGGCCCTGGCCGCGTCTGGCCTGGGACTTGCCCAAGCTGCGTTCCAGCTGCCTCCCGCTTGGCAGGAAGGCAGGCTGCTCCTCTCTCTCCCCGGTGCCTGGCGGCCGGGGGCATGAGGCCAGGCCACAGTGGCCTGCCCATCCGTGGCTGCCTGGCCCACCTCCTGGGTGCAGCGCCGTTTTGCAGGCCTCGCGCCCCTGACAGCCGCTCTGCCTGGCCCCCTGCAGCTCGCCGGGTGTGCCACGTCCCCGGACCAGCAGGAGCAGCCCTGCCTGGAGCAGCGGCGGGCAGAGGGGGCCCTCCGTGAGCTGCAAGCCGAGCCGGAGCCGGCCCTCCCCAGGCGTGCTCAGCTGGCTCGTCTCTGCCGCCGTCCCACGCGCAGTTCTCCCCTCACCCTTGTTCCCCATTGAGCGTCCGCTTGCCCCGAGGCTGGAGCAGCAGCAGCCGGCGCGGTGGGGGGGCTGCCTGAGCAGGGGAGGTGCTCCGCAGCTGGCCGGGCCTGCGGCGGCTCTCGCGCCCCCTCGTGCTCTGCCCCCCGCGCCCCGGCCCCTCCGCCGGAGCGTCTGGGCTGTTCGGGAGCAGGTTGCATGAAGCGGCGTCAGGGAACTCGGCGCAATGAAAGATTAACGAGGAGTGAGCCGGCGCCTCGCCTCAGCTAAGTGGTGCTGCAGGGATCACCGGGCACCGGCATGCGCGGTGTAAGGGAGCTGATTGCCGCGGCCGTGGGTCGGGCGCGCCGTGTGGTGCGGCTTGCCAGCAGAGACCGCCCTGTGAAAAGCTAAGTGCTCCTAATGCGCAGCTCAGCCCGCTCCACGCGCCGGGAGTTCGGGGGCGCAGAAGCCAGGCGGGGTGAGAAAGCTCCCAAGCCGCACCGGCCATCAATATTTCATGTGCGGAGGAGCAGCTTTCCAGGAAGCCGGCCCGGGCCGCGGGTTCTGCAGGCCAGCTGGAGCCTTGAGGCGGGAGCATGCTCTCTCTCGTGGAAAAGGCGTCCGCCTGCTCCGCGCCCGGCCTCCCCACAGACCTTCCCTTGCCACCCTGTGGGGCGGAGAGGAGCCCTCCCGACTCCTGGGCGGTGTGGCAGCTCGCGGATGTGGCTCGAGGCAGCACTGGACGCGGATGCACGTGCCCAGCCGGGGCTCGCCTGGGCGCGGCGGCGTGAGGTGGGGCAGCCTCGCTGCGAGCCCGGAGGAGCCGGAGCCGGCTGAGTGGGGGCGGTGCTGGCGGCAGGCGGGCGCTCTGGGGCGTGCACCCTGTCCCTCTGCTGATTTCCGGCTGAGTGCCGGACTTGCTAGGGTGGACGGTTCATCCTTAGGGGCTGCCATTCTGTGGGTTCGGTGTTCGCTGTTGCCCCCGCACAGGAGACCCTTCTGCTCCTGAGAGAATTGTGCCAAAGCTTCCAGAGGAGCCGCTGCCTTGTGGGAGCCACTGCACCCGGCGGGAGGAAGTCCGAGGCCTGTGAAGTCCCCTCGGCCTCGGGCTGGCCTGCTGGGTCCGGGGCACTGGCATCGGGGGGGGGGGTGCAATAGCAGGACAGAGCTCTTTGGCGGGGGGTGGCGCTGCAGGGTGGCGCGGACAGGCTCCCTGGCGGCACGGCTGGCAACGCTCCTGCCTGGGCCGGCGTGCCACCATTCCCTGCGCTCTGTCCCGGGCCAAGCAGGGCAGGCTCGGGGTGGGGCAGGTTCCTGCCCCCCTGCGCGCACGTGCGTGGGCTGCCCACTGCCAGTGTCTGCCAGGCAGGTAGTTTGGGCATGACAGGGCCCTACAGATGAGCCCTCAGCCCTGGGGCCTGTGCCTGAATCCAGCCGTGGCCAGCGTCACGTGGAAAGGCCCACTCGCCCTGGCACAGACATCGCCGGCGTGTTTTGGCGTCAGGCCTGAAGTAGCCCGAGGGGAGTGGCTGCCTCTTCGGAGGCCTCTCTCGGCCACCCCCTGGGGCCCGTTGCGCCTTTCCTGTGCCCGGCCGAGGAAGAGCTGAGGCTGCGCTTGGGCCCGACTCTTGCCTTGTGGGCGCCACGTCCATCCGAGCATCCGAGTGGGAGCCTTCGCGTTTTGCTTCTGGCCAGGACTTCTGGCTCCAGCCCCACTCGGGCCTCTGAGCAGGCAAAGGTGCACCTTCGCTCGAAGCCAGCTGAGGGCCTCGTGCCGCCAGCACGTTTGCAGCAGGATCCGCGACCAGGAGAAAAGGCAACCCAAGCGCTGACCTATTTAAGGTGGACGGGGGTGTGAGCGGCAGTCTGAGTAGCTGCTGGAGTGAAGCCAAAGCCCGTGCGGGGTGCCAGTGACTGTGGGGCAGCCCCACATCTGCTGGCCGGCACCCCTGGAGGAGGCTTGCGCGAGCCTTTCTGCATGCTCACTTGCCTGGCCGGCTGTGGAAGGGCGGGCGCCGAAGCAGGGAGGACGCCGGGCCGTTGCCTCCGCCCCCGACGGCCCCGCGGCGCTTGAGCAGACCTGAAGCCCCTCTGCTAATCTGAGCGCTTGGAAGGGCCAGCGCGAGCGGCTTCCAGCACGGCAGGAGCGGACCAGCCATCTGCTCCTGGAAGTGGAGCAAGGGCGTTTTTCTCCGCAAACGGATGCTTAGTGAGCTTTGGGTGGGCTGCTCTCCGCGGAGCAAAGCACCGTGGCAGTGCGTGGAGGAGGGGCGGCCGAGGGAGTGAGGAGTCCGCGGTGGGGCCGCCGTGGCGGAGCAGCCCGGCACCAGCCGCCCCCGCGCTGTTCCGCTCTGTCGTGCACTTGCAGTGCAGGCTGGCCTTTCTGTGCGCTGCGGCTCGCCGGCTGCCTTCCCCATCCGTGTGTGCCGTGTTTTTCTGGGGCTGCCTCCGGAGGAGCTGCTGGAGGGGCTGTGGCGAGGGCGACGGCTGGGTTTGGGGGCAGAAGAGCCCCCCGAAGGCCTGTTCGCAGCACGACTTGTCTTCCCCACACTGTTGGGGTGACACCGCGCTCCCTGGTGGAGACCTGGTGCAGCCACCAGTGGGGGCGCCTGTGAAGGCGGCAGCTTGTGACCTGTGTGCCCAGCGTTCTGGGGCGGCCGTGTGTGCCTGCTCCACACTCATTGCCGGGTTAGTTTCCGAGTTGGTTGCTTCGGCTGAATTTGACCGGAGAGGGAGACAAACAGTTGAGAGAAGCCCTCCCACCCCTGACTTCAGTAACTGTGGGCCACGTAGTCTGGGAGAAGGGCTGTCCGGGGGATGGAGCCTTGATCGCCCCACGTCTGCTGGCCTAGGCTTTGGCCTTGCCCGGGGGCAGGAGCACGGCCTTGACTGGCCCCCTGCTGCAGGAGAAGGGCAAGTCCTGTGCCTCCCGGCGGCCGTCAGGAGCACCGGCCCTGCCTGTCGCCCGGCTCCATTCCTGCCTGTGGTAGCCCAGTGAGTCGGGAGCCTCCCTGGGAGGCGCTTTCTGCATCCT